ACTGGAAATAGCAGCCCAATTCCATCGATTAGTATGGACTATGTGAAATGGATATTTTCAACAGGAAAAAGAATAGTTTTCACCCTACTTCTCATAGTAATCACTTTACTGGATCCATTATGTTCACTTATTACTGGACAGTCTATAATAATCTGTTTGTGTTGGGGGGAGGAGGGATTTAAACCAAGAAATAAACATCAGTAGTTTGTTATCACAAAGCCACTGGGGGTTTTAAGAATGTTACTATGACAATTGGTACCACTGCTGTTGAATACTCTGTGGCACTTTCCCTCCCCCCATTTTTTAAAAATAAAGAGCTTGCTTCTCTTTGTGTAGAGGATGACCTGACAGCCTGTGAAGAACAGTCTACCCTCAGTATAGGGGGCAGCCTGAACTCTGAGTAAAGCTCTAGGAGGGGTTTCTGCTTATCAGTTTCCAAAATTACCAGTATTCAGTTTCTATTGGAAAGTGTTCCCGTGACAGGGAGTTGGACTAGATGGTCTTTAAGGTACTTCTCACCTCAGACCATTCTACAATTCTGTGATTTGCACAAGAAGCACGTGTGTGACTATGTGGTCTATCACAAGCTCTCATGTGCTTCGTTAAGGTGGTTTACTGCTGTTGTCTCACTGGCTCTCCCTGAAAAAATATAGCTTTCATGTTTTATAGCTGCATGAAGGTGCCTTTTTTTTATTACTGCATTTTATTTCTTCATTGCGTCCCCAAATCCCAGCTCGTCATACTCTGAACAAAATGTGTTTTCTTTAGCTGCCTCTGCCACTGACCTAGTACAAGCTTCTCTTCTTACTTCATGGTATCTCACTGTTGCTGATGCAAAATCTGGCAGCTTCCCTCTTCAACTTTGTTGCTGTGATGTGCTCCAGCCATGTTAAGCCTTTTGATCACCATATTTTTTGTATCCTGGCAAAGTTCTGTGCTCAACAGGTAACTCCATCAGAGTTTTATTTCTTAATTTGTAGCTTCTTCGTTTTTATCATCAATGTCATCATCACCATCAGTATTTTATCTTGATTTCTAATTATTGTTTCAGTGACATCTGCTTGAGCTGTGTTGTTCTTAAGTCTGGATTCTTATATCCTATTTCTGGAATAATTGTCAAGAAGTCTTGGTATTGTTTGTAGGCTTGAGACAAAGAGTAGATGGTAGCAATAGAGATGATGGAATAAGATCTGATGAGAGACAACGGACAAGAGAATGAGCTGGAGGATGAACATAGAATGAAACAGAATCCGGGAGTGAAGAAGTGAGATTAAAATAAAATACTACCCTGGAGTGGAAAGGGAAGGGAAGGGAAGGAAAAGGGATGGATAGAAAGGCCGGAGAATTGATGTAAAAACAAATAAGCTGGCTCTACTAGAAATTTCCAGGCTGAAAAAGTAAGAAAATCTTAATGCGTTTTTTTGTTTGTTTTTGTTTTTTTGTTTTTGAGAACTTAATTCTGCAAATGACTTAAATATATGTCTGAATTGAAGCACCTGCCTGGTCCAGTAATTCCTCAGAATAGATGGTGACCCATATAGTTTATAGCCTTATGCAAAGCCTGCTGAAGGCGGTCTAGCAGTGTCCGTTGTATACAGCGGGCTTTGGATCAGGCTTCTGAACCTCTGAGCACGCATTTAAGGAAGCACCTGAAAGATAATGCATGGAGAACATTCCTGACATCAGTAAGGAAATGGCGTAGCTGGTTTAATAGCTTTTTCTCAGTCTGTGATTCTAACAGCCAGGTTTGTGATATTTATTTTAGTATTCATGTTCTTGCAGTCCTTTTTACATTTCCCTGTTTTTCTCTGGCAGACATCCCGCAGCTCCATAAGTCTGGGGGAAGAGGATGGTTAGCACGTTGTTGCTGTGGGGATTTGAGTCTTAGTGCTTTGTGTTGGTAATGCTGGGCATATAAATTTTAAATCTTGCATACTAGAGATGCAGATAATTATTTCCCCGCTACATTTCATACTCTGGTCTAGGCAAGAAAGAAATTTCAGAATATTAAAAGAAGAGAAAGTTATGATTGTGGGGACCATTGGAAATGGAAACAGCAAGAGGGGTGTAATGGATGTAAGTCTAGTTATCAGTCAAGCTAGAAAAAGACAGCTTGTTCTGTTGAACACCAAGAATGTTCGTAGTCAGCCAACCACTTATGCAGGAAAGCAGCCCTAGACTGAAAGGTAAGGTTCAAAGACATCTGTGTATGTTTCTGAAATGAGCTTGAATGAAGCTTGCTATTGAATTATGCTTACTGATTATGCGTGTTACAGTATTTGATTTTTGTTTAGCATAAGCTATTCATGCAATTGCTAGTTATCTTATTTTTATTGCAGTATCTGTCTCTTTTTTTCTCCCCACGCCCCTTGTCTTGGATGCTTTTTATGTGTCCAGAGTTGACACTGGGTGACTGTCGTTGGGCAGAAGACTTAGCAATGCTGTGGTCTCTCTCTTTCTTTTTTCTTTTCCCCTTAAGTGAGACATGCTGCCTTCCAATTTCCTACATGTTCATGTGGTGAACTTCTTGCTGAATGTCTGTGGCTAGCATCCTCACAGGCTTGCCTAATGGTGTGATTCACATGCTCTCCCATGTGCAAGGATTGATTCCCTGCTTAAAGGAACTCTTCAGCACTAAGTGGTGTATTGGTGGTGCGCTTGCCGTGCTTAGTTTTTGTTTGCAAACAAAGTGGAAAAAAACGTTATTTTGAATTAGTTGGTGTTGATAAGCACTGATTTCCCTTCACTTGGAAAGAGAAAGCAGAGCTTAAGAGTTGACATTGGGGTGCCAGAATCCATCTGCTTCTCCTTTCCTTTGATGTATCACTTGAGAGCAATCGTAGAAGACAGGACTAAACAGAAGGGTAACAAAAACATGTCTCAGCTGCTTTGGGCACTGAGAGTTTCCTAAGGCCAATGGGAGATTCTAGGTCCCATCGGGCAGTGCCTTAATGCCTTTGCAGCTTCAGTTCAGCTATGTCTAAGGTGGGCGTGAGCCTTGAATTATAAAACACAGGGTGTTTTTTAAGGTAATCTGAAATCCTCACATGGAGCTGTGGGCTCATATATTATTAATCATACTGGAGAATATTTCTAGAAGTCTCCAGTCCTAATGTTTTCTCTCAAACACAAGTAGGTTCACTAGGAGCAGTTTACCCCCTATAAAATGCCTGACCGTGCCCATTCAAACTTCTTTACAAATGCTTCATTTGTTACAGGAAGCTCCTCAGGGAGGATTCTTCACATCTGCCATCATAATTTCTTATTTCCTAAGCGCTGCAATTTGTACTTGATTATTCTTACAAGAATCGTGCCTCCCTTCCCTCCCCCTGCTCTGGCACATTCCATTGTGCTGCTGCTTGTTCGTCTAGCCTGCACAGAGCATCTGAGAGTGTTTAAATCCAAATTTTTCTTTGCTGTTATTCTATCATTTCTTTACCCCACTCACTTCTGGGGGGGGGGGGGGGGGGAGGTGGAGGAGGGGCAGCTGCTTTTTTATTCTCTGACAGCTTTCCTGCAGGTTGTTAGCGACAGCAAGTTGTCATCATTTTGTAGCCATTCAGCAAGTAACAAAAACGAGCTGAATCTCTCATTCCAGTTTTCTAAGGACAGAGTTTCCCAAAACAAAAATACACCACCACTTCTTGGAGCACTTAACATCTCCAATAGATAGAAGGACTGAAGCCCGGGTTTTTGAAGATACTTCGGTGAAGGTACTTTGGTACTTTGGATACTTCCCACTAGAACTGAATTAGACCTAAGTACCTATAAATAGCTTTAAAACTTTGAGTGACTATGAAGGCCTTCCTCATCCATCACTTGGCAATGGTCCCATCAGAATGGAAGTAATTCATATCAGCAAGGTCACATAAAAAACCTGTAGTTCTGCTTTTCAGAAACTGCTCATATCAGACGGATGGCTGCATTCTACCATAGCTTTTCTTGAAATACAGCTTCCGAAGCAGATTACTTATATTTGCTAGAGGAAAAAAGCCCTTGCTTGCATTAAAGTAAATATTTAAGGCAGACAACTTTTAAAAAAGACACAACATTATGCGGCAAAAATACCCACCTGTATTCCTTATAATCCATTTTTTATTAAAACTGAGAAATAAAAGTAAAATTCACAATTTAATTGCTTTCTGCTGTTTCTAGGGGATACTCTTTACATTCCATTTGGTTTCACTTTGCAGTTCCTCTACCCCATTTTCAGTGCTGTTGTTATAGACATATGTAACCTTCAGAGAACATTTATTCCCAAACATAAAACCTCTATGGATTTTACTTTTTGATATTTAATAACATTTACCTGTGTGTTAGCCTTCAAATCACTTTTTTTTTTTTTTTTTTTTTCCCCATTGAATCCAGATTTTGGGGCTAGTGCTAAGAAGAGAATGTGTTTGAAATGGGGAGGTTGTCATATATATATCAGGAGGTCCTCCAGGGTCTGCAGAGCCAGGATCACGTGTGTGGAAGGTTGAGTTTGTTTTATTCCTTGGGATTTGAAGAACAACCATTTGTGTTGCATCCCATTATTAAATGGCATAGACCAATTCTTAAGAATTGGTAGATCTCATTCTTTTTAATTAGATCTCATTGTAGTCACTCACGGATGTGTATTCAGTTTTAGGTTTGGGGTTTTCTTGGAGGAAGATGGGATATAAGCGTTCAACAGTTCAATCAGGAAAAAAAAAAAGTAGATGTGTTGATGAGACATTAATATTTGACGCACCATTCTGTTTTAGATCTGTATTAAATGTCTGAAATATTTGAGCAAGTTGTCTCCTGTATTCTGTTGCAAGCTTACTTCCCCCACCCACTTTCCGCCCTCAACTGAAGTATGTTCATCAGATTGCTGAATTGGAAGGGTTTGTAATGAATTCTTTGAGCTCTGCCTCTTCCTCCTTACTCCCTCCTTGATTTTCATCTCATAATAAAGCAAATCTTAAAACAGATTAACTGTCAAATAGTTATGCTCCATCTCTTCCATCTACTTTTAGGTTTTCCAAAGAGAGGTGTGCTGATTGGATAAGATGTCATGGTCTTCTCCCGTCGATGTAGGAAGATAGCAGATATGATCGCCTGAGAAAGCAGAGCTACCCAGTGCAAGCATGGCTTTCGCCCAGTCACACATTATGGCAGCTAGAAGGCATCAGCACAGTAGACTCATAATTGAAGTGGATGAGTACAGCTCCAACCCCACACAGGCTTTCACGTTCTACAACATTAACCAGGGACGTTTTCAGCCCCCACATGTGCAAATGTAAGTATTATAGTTTTGTTATTGCTTTAGCACAGCCTTCTGAATTGTTATTGCCTTGTCAATGTGGTATTTGATGGACCAGTCAAAAAGAATGCAAAGAAAACTGTTTTGCTGCCTTTCTAATAATTACTATAATGATACAAAGTCAGTCTGTTTGGGAAGTATAAGTACTTTGATAGAAAGATCACTCCACCAGCATAACTTTAATACATAATAATATTAAAAAAATAAATAAACATCAAGCCATGGTAATAAAACAAGAAATTCTACAAGGCTGATACTTTCTGCAATCTTAATAGTTGTTTGCATTGTGCGCTTGCCTATTGATGGAAATAGCTGTTGAAATACCAAGCTCATATCTGTACAACAGATATTGTTTGGTTAGTTATATTGCAGACATAGAAGGAAAAAATGACATCAATAAGTAAAATGGTGTGGGCATCCATCCGACAACTTACTTTCATACCAATGTGCTGAAGATGCCAAGTGCTTAAAGAGTAATTAAAATAATGTGTTTGTTTCTGACTTCTTATATAATGACAGCATCAGTAAAATTAACTGCTCTAAATGATTTACTTGTAATGTAAAGTGGAGAATTATAATTACGAAATGAAACCTGCCATAAAATTTAAAGCCAGAAGGAAGAGCAAAACAGTAAAGCTATTACAAATAAATTAAGTATAAAATTCTACTGTAAAATATTTTTATAGGGAATAAAAATGTCTGCACCATTTTATTGTGTTTATTAAAGGAAAAAGCAGCCTTATCTGTAGATGAGAAGACTGGTGTTCACTTTTTTTTTTTTTTTAAGGAAAGTTTTTTTTCTTTTACGAAGTCTGAATAAATTATCCCCTCATTCACATTTTTGGTATTTAATATGAATTTATAATTTCCAGACAGAGACCACGATTTCTGCAGTTGAAAATGTCAGCAGTTATGAGTGGTTGAATGCTGTGTGTCTGTTTAGTGAATGCTTATGTATATTTTTTGGCATAAATAGATACTGTGTTAAAAAAAAATAATCTGGAGACCGACATAGAGCAGGGTGATGAGCAAACACTTGCTTTTTGGGGGCAGTGTGTTAGCTTGTAATCTGTGTTGGGGTTTTTAGGTACTATTGAAATGCAAACAGTAGAATGAGTTGAGTGTCAGCAGTGGGAAACATCTTTTGTTTATAGAGTTGGCAAATGTTAGTAAAAGCACAAACAAACAAGTGTGGGTTCAGAAGTACTTTTATAAATGAAAATACTAAATGCAGGTTGCTTTATTTGTTGAAGCTTTGCCATTCTTCATGTACATTCAGGAAGTTCCTGGGCACTTGTGAACTTGTTCTCCAGATTTAAAAGCTGTGTTTTGTTGTGCTGAAAATGGGTTATTTATTAGAATCACAGAATCACCAAGATTGGAAAAGACCTCCAAGATCATCCAGTCCAACTGTCCACCTACCACCAGTATTTCTCACTAAACCATGTCCCTCAGAACCACATCTAAATAATTCTTGAACACCTCCAAGGATGGTGACTCACCACCTCCCTGGGCAGCCCGTTAAAGCATCTGACCATCCTTTCAGAGAAAAAATTTTTCCTAAAATCCAACCTGAACTTGCCATGGTACAACTTGAGACCTCTCGTCCTATCACGAGTTACGCAGGAGAAGAGTCTGACCCTCGTGTCGCCACAATCTCCTTTCATGTTGTTACAGGAAGCCAAAAGGTCTCGCCTGAGCCTCCGCTTCTCCAGACTAAACAAGTATCCACTTGGTACTTAACAATCCACAGCTTGAATTTCTAACAAGTGAAGAACAAATCATAGTACCAGAGAGCTGAGAAAATCATCTGCATGATACAAGTTCAGCACCTAAGCAAATAGTTGAAAATAAGCTATTCTTAGAAAATTGTTCCTTAGGAGAATTTAGCACTCTCTTACAAATGATTAACACCCTTGAAGAAGCCTGTGCACATAGGTTAAATAAATTAAAATGTATACCACAATCCCACCTGCTCTTTTCTTGGTACAGAAATCGTAAAGAATGTTTTTGACTACCAGCAGCATTGCTTTTGCTTCCAATCGGTGAATAGAACAGTGACAAAGAAGGGGCAGGTATATACAAAATATATTTACAAAGGTCAAAATACCTAGGTTGCAGCCAGTCGTAAACACTCTCCAGATAGATCCATTAACATTTGAACTTGTGGTAAAATACTTGTACTGCAGTTATTTCTGGTACTCATCTACTCAGTCCAGCTCTGGAGCTCTTCTTTGGTCCTTGGTGCAGTTCTACTTAACTTTTTGGCATACTGACAGCACTCTCCTAACCCCATCTTAGTCCGTCATTCCCATGTTTGTGAGGTGACTGGATTGCTGCTGACAAGAGGAGTGGCAAATTCTGACAGTGTTCTCAGGTTCATCAGTCACTCCTAAGAAGTTCCCTTATTCTGTTTTTTGGGAACCTCCTCTAAAGTCTGGTCTAAAAACTCACTGTTCTTATCTGTTGATTTTTTTTTTTTTTTTCTATGAGGTTTTAACTTTGCTTTTCAGTTTCTTTGCAAGTTTACACGTTGTTTTATAGAAAAATAGCATTTTGGCAAAAATAATCAGATCTTTCTTCCTCTGCTTGTGCTGCAAGCAGTGCATTGGGTGTTGGTGTGACAGCTGCTGTGGCAATGTGTTACCCAAAAATATGGGGATCCAGCCTTCAGAAATCATTTCTAATACAACTTAGATGCATTTTTGAAATTTGACACATGTTTTTACCTATATATGGCCTCAGTGTGTGCATATCACTTCAACATGAAAATGTGCATCTCATTTATTTGTGGGGTTTTTTTTTGTAGTATTGGTATCTTTTCTCCATGAACATTATCTGACCCACTGCACGGGCTCTGAAAGTTAAGTGTACCTCAGCAACCAGGAAAATGCTGTCACACCTCCCCCCTCCCTATCCAAACTATAAGAAACAGCAAATGTATTGCACACTTGGTTTGCTGTGATAAATCCCTTGTTTTTCCATTTGGTTCTAATACAGGGAAATACACGCTACCCCTGAGGAGGAACTCTGTGAACTAAATGCAGTACCCTTCATGCAGATTGCACCTTAAGACAGCCCTTACTCAGTAGTCCAAAACCCACCATTCTCCATCTTTTGGTACCTCCCCTCACAGTCCATAGAGCTCCCTCTGTGGCAGCTCTCATCCCTGGGAAAAACAGAGGCATTTTTAATACCTAGTTGCAATCATCTAACTGCAACTGTTTGAGGTTGTGACCTCTCATACTCCTTAACCCCCATCTAACTCTTATCTGTGGCCCTCACACAGCCTACATACTCCCTCAGCCATGCACATCATGTTTGCAGCTTCTGTGTCTCGGGGTCCAAATGTTTCACTTTTTCAGCTGAGTTTTCCAGTTTCTATTATGCGTTGCTTAGATGTACCACTGACGTGCGCATAATGCTAGCTGCTCATTGGGTAGGATCTGATTGTGGCTGGCTTTTCTCCTTACTCACATTTCATTATTTTCTGCTCAGAAACGGGAAGTTTGGAGAGTTGAAAGGTACTCATAATGGTTTCTCCAGTATTCCAGTAAAAAAAAAAAGTAACAAAACCACCTCACAAGTAGCTGATGCTTATTGTGCTGGATTCAAAACAAAACAAAGCCACTCCACTTCTTCCTAAAACATGTAAGAAAGATGAATACAATGTAATTTATTCAAACTGGATTTTTTAATTACAAAAAATAGAATATTTTACATGTATTTGATATATATGAAGTCTTAGATTTTATCCATTTATCATGTGAAGTTGTCAACAATATCTCAGTTTATCCATCCAGATTTAATAGAATTCTTCTTTCACTTAGGGAAAAGATTAGAAATGATTATCTTATGTCTCTCAAGTAATAATATGTCTTTGGGAAATTTACCCAGTAAACCCAGGGGCAGTATCATTAGTAACAAAGATCTCTAACTTTTTTCTGTGTTTCTTTATATAACAGTAAGATCCTGAATTGAAGCACAACCAGCAAGGAATATATTATATATGGCAATAGCGAACAAAACTAATTTTGATTTTCCTTTCAGGATAACTGTTTTAAAAGTAAAATAATCCAGAATATTTCTGTATGCCTTTCTGGTTCCTGGTGACATAAATATAACTCTTGCATCTCTGACTTTTTGATTTTATTCCACCAGAATTCCCAAACTGGAATAGCAGATATGGTATAGCTGTATACGATACATTTGCTTTTGTATGTTCTAACAAACTATAGCTTGAGGGTAAAAAGACTGAATGAGCTGGAAATAAGTATGCCTCCCATAGCAGAGAGGTGTTCTCTGCTTTCCTCTTCTATTCATAAGTTGTAAGTCTCACCAAACTTGGTCAGATTGTTTCTTTTTCTCAGTTCCAAATAGTGAGATTGGGTTCTGAACAATGCATACTCACCCCTCACAGCATCTGATTTCTTTTAGTATAATTAAGCCCAGAAAGTTACCACATTTATCCTGACAATAGTCAGACTTGAACATACATTTACAGCTGTTGTCGGGAGGATTCTTATCTTGCTTTGCATTAACAGACTGAAACATATCTCCAAAATGTGTTAATTAAATTTGCTGGAATTATATAACTTGCAGAAAAAAAAAGTTATAATTAAAAAAACGCATTTAAAATGTATTTATGTATCTGAAATGAATCTTTTTCCCGTGTACCATGTAATCATATTTAAACAGTGAAACAGAATAGCACCATTCCTTTGAATCTCTCGATGCCTTTGATTTATTTGTAAGTATTTGTTTTAGAGTTGCTGCCACAGTTCAGTCTCTCTTGCTTAATCTCTTTAAATTAATCCAACAAATACTGAGAATGTTGTGATGCGAACATCAAGAACTTTTACACCTCCCATTAGCGTTAGATTTGTTTTAATAAATCCCTTCCATCAGACAGATCTATAAGACTGTGTAATCTTTTGTAAAGGTAAAAATTAGTATTAGAATTACAAAGTAGACGCTGGAAGTTCATAAGTACTTTATAACCTTGTTGTGATGCATTTCCTGCAGGGTTGATCCGGTGCCCCATGATGCTCCCAAACCTCCAGGGTATACTCGATTTGTCTGCATTTCTGATACTCACTCGAGAACTGATCCCATCCAAATGCCATATGGAGATGTGTTAATACATGCTGGTGATTTCACTGAGCTGGGACTTCCTAGTGAAGTAAAAAAATTCAACGAGTGGCTAGGTAGGTATTGAAATCTGTGTGCATTTGAAAGTAAATTTGTTTACTGAATGTATCTGCCCCTTCTGCCTCCCAGTAAAAACCACCACGCAGTCAGGAATGATGAATATTAATTTGTCTTAAATTTGAATGGCAATGAGCAAGAATCAGATATTTCTTTTTCTTTTTTTTTTTTACAAGTTTTTTTTTTTGCATTTTTTTTTTTGCATTTTTCCAACGGAGCAAATAAGATTTGAGAGACTATTCATCTGTTCTGCCTTCACACTCTCAAGTGTACATTAAGCAACTTCGTGGTGTTAGCAACAATTTCAGTCAGTAGGCCTTTAACGATTTACATAAAACCTCCTACATACATTGTTATGGCTTTGCTTCCCTGCAAAAAAAAAAAAAAAAGTTGTTGTGACTGAAAACATTTGTCTGTTTAACCCTGGAGGCTTATAGTTTTTTTATCTGGGGCTCAGCTGCACCACAGCAATGAATTCCAAATAAAGCAAAACGTGTGCCCGTGGTTGCTGTCTTGGATGTAGCAGACCAGATGTAGATGCCTTCTGTAGGCAACTGTTGGCATTGTAACTGAAATTCTGTTCCACTGGGCAAGAGAGTGGTGATTTACATGCGCTTCTGCAGTGTTCTGTATATTCTAAAAAAAAAAATGTCAGTGAAAACTGGAAAGCATTTCACTGTATCCAGACAAAAAACCCAATCGGTATTGTTTAGGCTGCAGCGTAGATACCTTAATTTAGAATAAAAACAAATTCTTGCTTCTGATACTTCATTATCCAAAAAAAGGGTCAGAGGACTTGGGAAGTGGAAAGACAGAGTTTAATGGGTTTTGGTTTTTAGACTGATTATCTTCCCTCTAGTTTATCTTTTGTGCACTGTCCTTTTTTTTTTTTTTCCTGCATGCTACAGCGTTCCTCACAAAGAATGCACAAAGCTGACAAACACACATAGGCTGAAAACGGATATAAAAAAGTCAGGGCTACACAATTTCAACAAATATTTACCAGCAAAAAAATCATCAATTAAGGCCGATAAACATTTATTTCAGCTTGGAAACCGCATGACATGCCCAGCATGAAGAAATTGCATTGTTCTGTGGTCACTCAGTTAGGAGCAGCCTGTGGAAGTCTCATACTCTGCTATGGTGCCCTCTGCTCTTCTCGGTCCCCAAATGGTCTGTTGTGCAACCAAAAGCAAATTTGAATCTTATTTTGTAGATCTCTATCGTATAGTGTAACAATGCACTGAAAACAGCATATGAAGATGATGCCTACCATATGGTTAACTATTCTAAATAATACTTATTTTATTTGTCTGCTAGTGTGGAAAAAAAATGCCTTGGGACATCACTAGTGAGCAAAGACAGGGCTACACACATTGCTTGCTGCACAGTTTTTGTGTCCTTAGTTCTCCATCTGCCTCTCTGCTGGTCATAGCTGTACAGTGTTCTGAAGAAGTCCTTAAGCTAAAATCCTCTCAGTTTAGTTGGGAAATTTCCCAAGGCATTTCTGTGATGGTCCCTTCATCATTTTTGTTCCAAAAGAAGGCCTAATTATCTGACTTTTCCAAAGTCTGATTTCATGGTAGTGTATGGTTTGGGAAAAGGTGGTCTTTGCATTTTGAGGTGTACTGTTGCCAGAGCCTCTCTGGGACTGTCACGGAATTAACTAGATCAATCTATGCCCGTGACAGGGAGGCAATAGGCCCTTGGGCCCCCCTCCGCCTCCACAAGATGGGAAGGAAAAGGGAAAAGGATAGGAGATGGGAGCTGGGCTCGAGGAAGGAAAAAAACAGTGGCAACGATCTATGGAGGAAAGCTTATTTTACTAACTATGATATCGGAATGCAAGATAACACAATTTAATACAATCAAATTGAAATTGAGTCAAACAAATCAAATAAAATAAGAGAGTTCCTGAGACCAAGTTGAACCTGAAAAGCTTGATATGGTTGGAAAGCACCCACTGCAAGGCAGTAAGAGACCGCCCAGCCAGGACGGGCCAGATCCCATGACTTCTGCAACATACAGGGACTGGTACCTGGAATTGGAGCATTAACACTTTAACTCCCAGTGCACTACATGATGTTATGATGTAGAATACTGAAAACGAGAAACCACAAAACCATGACAGGGACATGCATATTTAACAAGTAAAAAACCATACATACATACATACATATATATATATATATATATATATATATATAGGCTTATTGACAATTTGCAGAAAAAAATATATATTTTTTGAATTAATTCTAAAATATCCAGTAGAATAATAGCTTGGAGTTGGTATGCAGGTTTCATTTGACTAGCATTAAAGGCTTTGTTTCAGTTAAAAGGTGTAAATTTTAATAATTATGCTCAATTTGATTTCAAAATGAAAGCATTAGCTTTTATTTTGAAAGGTTATTTTGTTTTAAATGAACAACTTATGAATTAATAATGCACTGAATGTTTACAAAATCTGTAGTAAATGATAAAATGGTTAAAAGCCTTCTCTTTGAAAGGAAGATTTTTCCAGACTTTTTGCTGGTAGCCCGTGTTGTTGGGAAAGGTTCTAGTCTGTGACAGTTTAGATTTTTCTAGATCGTTTTGCAACTATAATGCCCACAGCCTGCCCAGCCTTATCCTTCTTCCTTGTCTGAACATTTCACTGGTGTCTTGAGAAAACAATTGATGCATTGACCAGGACTTTTGCTTACAGCCTCATTCTTAACTGTCACCACCAAATTTCCTTGTTTGTTGCTTCTTCCCATACCAGAGGACTGGCTTTCCCATTTGGTTATTTTGTTTTGTTTCAGTAACGTGTCTTCTGCAATCAGTAGATCATAACCTATTTATTAATGCCTCAAAATAAAGAGTAGAATATTTGTTTGTTATGCCTTCCCTCTGCTTCCTCCAGGCAGTAGGTACACACCCTACTTCTGCTGTTATGTGAGCATTTATTCCTCCCTTATGGCATTCAGTTCTGTCACACCCCCTTGGGTCTCTGCCACTCTGGTCTGTCAGCCTGTTTCATCTTATCAGGAGGCCCTTAAGCAAGTTCAGATTTTATCTTTCTTCTCTACATAAAATTTCTGTGCCTTTTTGATGCAAAATATATTTTACATTAACATCATTAACTTCCGTGGAGCTTATGCTTCTATCAAGCACATGCTCAAGTGTTATGCTGATAGAGGCACATTGGGCTGCTGAGTCATACCCTAAAATATGTTCTTTCTTTTTTAGGCTAACTGTATGTGGGTACACAGGAAGGCCAGATGATATATCTCTGCAGCCCATCACTGCCTTTGTCTGCCCCTCAGTCTCCTACTTTAAACTTTCAATCCTCTCACTCCTGTAGCCCTTTTCTGCATTTCATTTCAGTTCTTTTTGGTGATCAGTTGTTTACTTTCCCTGGTTTTGTTTTCTGAAGACTCCTCCATTTTTCTCAGGAAGGGGTTTGAGGTTTTACCAGTAATAGGTTGATGCTGAGCTCCGAGGGAGAGAAAAAAGGCTGGTGATAGCTGAGCATGCATATTTTCCCAGCTTTCTCTGATAGGCAGTCCAAGGACTTCCTGGACCACACCATTAAATACACATATAGTGTATTTAATAGACATATATAGTATGTGACTGTGTGAAGAACTTTGCATATTTTGAACTTACCATTGACTAGTTTCATTTGGTATTTCCTAATACTAAATGAGGCAAGTGAACAATTCCACTCTTCATTCTGCTCCAGAATTTATAGGCTCTTCCCATATTTACCCTTTCAATATTTTTCAGGCTGAAAGCTGTTTAGAAGTCCTTAGATGCCTTTGATCATCTTTGTCTTTCTTTGTACCTCTGCTTGTTCTTTATTATTTTAAAAGGTGGAGAGACTGGAATTGCACGTGCTCTGAACACATCACAGATTTATACCCCAGCATAACGAAATTTCCTATTTTGTTCTCCTTTTCTTTCTAATGTTGTGAATTATTGTTTTTATTTTTGTTGATGACTGAACAATGAGATTTCATAAAATTGCCTACTCTATAAACTATTTCCTGAGCAGCAACATCCAGTTCAGAATCCATCACTTACGAATAGTTGGGATACTTTTTCCAGCAGTTACATTATTCTGCATGAATTTCTGTTCTGTTTCATCTTTCCTGTTATTGCCCAGTCGTGCAGTACTGTCATGTACTTTTGTAAGTCAGATTTCCATTTTGTACTCTTATTCAGGGTAGCTTAGAAGAAGAAGGGGAAAGGCTATGAATAGTCAAGTTTATAGAGTGGTGCTAATGAGGTCATTTCCCTCCCCTCTTTTTTGCTGAACTGACCTTTCTCCTATTTTTATGATTCTCTTTTCCCTTTTGCTGCTGAGTTTCTTTTCTGACTGTATTTTTCTTCCAAATTTGCAAATGCAGGTATTGTGAATCAGAAAAAAAAAAGGAAGAGCAAAGCATGTATTACAGTAGGTGCAGTTGGAAGGCCATGAAGGCAACAAAACTTTGTAGTGACATTTTAAGGACGGATCGTGTGACAGCTTTGGACATACACTGGTTTTCCAGTATGCCCAGGGGATTTTAGTGGCATCACTTTAAACAGCTGAAAATTATTCAGGGGAATTGTAATAAATACAGATTAGTATGTAATCACGGCTAGATAAGGTGGATTATATTGTAAGGTGTGTCATGCTTCGTATGCACTGCAGCTATCCGTGTAGTCAGATATTTCATTATTTTTGTTACTTAATCTCAACCTGCATATAAATCAAATGTGCTGTGGGACGAACACAAAGACAAGCTTTCCTGCACTCATCAGATAATGAGTCTAAAACCATCTCTATTTTGTGCGTCCCATATTGTTGGCACTGGAAATTGCTTGCTTGGTTCAGTTGCTCTTGCAATTCACTTTGCTAGAGTCTGTAATATCATTTCCAAATTTTGTATGCTCCAGGACCCGCTGTCACTTTCAGCTTGTGAGTAACTTTCCTGGAAGCGTAACTGAATAGCCAATCTGCAGTGTACGCTGC